CTATACGAAACCGAGGCAAGCTTTGTCTCCTAAAAGCACACCACATGCGCTCCCCATTTGCGGACTGCCAACTTCACCACCTTTGTTTCCATCAGGTCATTGAGGACCAGAAACATTCCACGATATGACACGGAACTTCATGAGCACACAATTAAGCTACCTTACCTCTCTTCCTCCCTCTACCCCTCTCGAGCCCACCCCATACCCCCCTAAATGAGGTTTCGCACCTCCCTCTCCACTCTCTCAGGAGGAGTCCTCACCTTTCCTTCCCTTTTCCAGTTTTCATCAATGGAGTGAAACATACCGATGGCCTGACCATCCTCGCCTCCATAGGTCACTCCAAGGAGATTGCCCACAGGCCAGCATTATCCCTTTTTTTGATAAGTAAAAGTGTATTAGAAAGCATTCAAAAGGGGAACGCATTCCAAGAGCTATACAAGGGCCAAAGCCAAAAAGGGAGTCCTAAGGCCCGGCATTATCCCTCACCCACACCTCCCTATTATCCCTATTTTCCCCACCCTCTCCTTCCACAACAACAAAAATCTCATCCCTCCCCAACTCGAGACCCACCACTACCAAAAGAACCAGCAGCTTTCCATCCATGGAGTCACACCCCTCCCGTGGCAAAATCCACATGTCACCCTCCGAAAGGTTTCCCGACTGCCTATCCCTCTCCTTTATAACAGAAACAAACGATAGATTGCAGGCCAAATGAGTGAAAATTCTTCTTCAGAGTCTTCTCCCTTTTCCACCACTTCAGCATCCATAAAGCGTGTTGACCTTGAATCCAAGGCTTTTGATGATCATAATTCATTAATGATGTTCTATGTGTTCTAATGTCTACCTTGAGAAAATTACAGATCTAAGCGTTCATCAAGTCAAGACATTACATGGTGAACTCAAAAGAAAAGGAGCATCATAAAAGATACATGAAAAGGTCGCCAAGAAATCAAGATCTAAAAGGAAGCTATCAAGATTAGTCAAGCAGTCAAACGATCATGCAAATACTAATGAAAAAGGGTAGCTAAGTTGGTGAGTGAATAGGACCCTTTGCTAAAGCATGTATGAACATTTTGAAAATCACATATCCATAATCATGCATAGAACCTCATTCATCAAGCTTAAGGAACATTAGACTAAATTTGAATATCATCAAAACATGTTCCTAAAAATTGAAGTTCCATTTCGGTCACCGAAATGGAAGGATAACTTGAAACAGTCGACCGACCCTAACAAAGAATTTGGAACAAAGCTTCTAAGTTATTTCGGCCTACCGAAACAAAGGACCAATTCATTTCGGTCTACCGAAATAAGTTAATGAAAGAATACTACTAGGTGTTTCAGACGACCGAAATAAAAGAAGCAAATGAATCGGACGAGCCGATTCTAACGGAATGTTTTGGAACAAAGGAGGAAGATGTTTCGGACGACCGAAACAAAAAGAAGATTACTTCGGTCTACCGAAACAAAGAATGATGGCCAACCTTAAACCATTTCAGACGACCAAAACAAAAGGAAGATTATTTCGGTCTACCGAAACAAAGAATGATGGCCAACCTTAAACCATTTCAGACGACCAAAACAAAAGGAAGATTATTTCGGTCTACCGAAACAAAGAATGATGGCCAACCTTAAACCATTTCAGACGACCAAAACAAAAGGAAGATTATTTCGGTCTACCGAAACAAAGAATGATGGCCAACCTTAAACCATTTCGGACGACCGAAACACAATGGTGTTTTATTTCAGACGACCGAACTAACGTAGATTCAAATTTTGAACGGCTATTTTACCTCGAACTGTGTCCAACAGCTAGAATACATATCAAATTCATCTGATACTCTATATAATGACTTGTGATCTTCATAAAAAGGTATTGCAACCATTGTGAATCATATCCTTGCAATCATAAAGCCTTTGTATCATCATTCACACACTATACATCCGTAAAGAGTATTGAGCTTCAATCTATTCATATATACTCTAGAGTGAGCTGAAATTTGTACTTCAGATCTGAGAGAGATCATCTTGTACTTCATTTATCTTCTTCAAATCTTGTAAGGACTAGTGTGGTCCAAGGAAGACTAAGAGAAGGTGTTTCTCTTAGCACTTTGAAGCAAAGAGGTGCTTCTTGTAAAAGGTTTGCTCTCCACCCGTAAGGAGAAGCCATAGTGGATTGGGAAGTCTCAAGAGGGGTCTTAAGCCGAGGAGTAGGAGTTTCCAAACCTCGCTAAAATCGTTGAGTACTTGTTTGCAATCTCTATCTCTATCTCTTATATTTATTGCTTAAAGTTTAGCATGATTAATTTCTTGATAAATGTTGTTAGTTGAGGTTTAAAATTCAGATTGCTTTATTCAACAATTGTCAAGAAAGTTAAGCTTAGTACTTGCATGTTAATCTAAATTAAAAATTGACCATTGTTTGCTAAGACTCTATTCACCCCACCCCCCTCTCCAGTGTCGTTACTTGGGCAACAAAGCGGTTCAACCCTTTTAACGCTTTATAGAGGGGTGCCCACGATAAACCCAAGGTTCTAACACCCTAGCCCGCGCCAAGCCCAGGTCTCAAGAAACCCATCGCATCTTAAGTTACGCCATGCCGCACAGGTCTCACGTATTTTTCAGGTTTCTTGCGTCATCCCAAATTTTAATAACTAATACAATAAAATGTCAAAGTATATAAAAATCTTAAATTCTTTATTATTTGTTTCCTTAGCTAAAATTTTATTATTTTATGTATATTCTTATAAGATTTTAAAGTAATCGTGTCAAAGTTGGTGAAGACCCAGGAATCTATGATTGATGATACTATAAATAATCTAATTTTAGCTTTATTTTACATAAATATGTATAATCTTAAAAATATAAAAGTTATAAACTCTTTGTATATTTCGGGTTCTTCGAGTTCCTCGGGTTCTTCGAGTTAGTAAAACCTTTGCCCAAATCCCATCCAAAATAAATTTGGGCTTTAAAGTTTAAACCCAGTCCCATCCCATCCCATGGTCTCAATTACCTTGCCCACTCCCGTAAAATTTTTGGGCAGAAATCGGGTTGTTAGACCCACCCAAGTCCCACCACTAGCCTTATGTAATCGGAGCTCTATAACCAGGACTTAAATGTTATTGAAATGTATTGCAACGAAGTTCATCTTTTTAAGTTTTAAACCAAAAATTACTACTATAAACTAGTTGTTATCAGCAAACCCACAAAAGAAAAAACATCTCCACCCTTGTATTCCAATATTAATGTATAAGCACAAAGGTGATACATATAGCTACAATAACTATCGCTTTATGACCCTAGAAACAAATTATAAAGTTCTAGTGATTATTGATTGAGTGAAGAGTAAAGTATTTATCAGAAATAAATAAATAAATAAAGATTGAGTGAAGAGTAAAGTGTTACATAACAGTATCAATAAATTTAGAAGGCTTCAAACACAAGAGATCTAACATGCAATTTTGTAGAGTGAAGAGAAAGAGTTACATAATAGAGGTTTTAAGAGAAGAAGAAAGATACCCATTAAACATTTATGAAGTAACAAGGGAAATATATATATATAGAAAAATGAACAATATATATAGATATATATATTTACACAAAAAGCATAACATGTTGTAGCATAATAGACTTACATCAAGGGCTAAACATAGCTCCTATCTTTTTGCATCAATTATGAATGAACTCAGAAATTTTAAAAGAGGAACAATGGCATATAGTATCTTATCGTTGTTAGATGGTTGGTTGCCTTACTACTTAAGTGATAAGGAGAGTGACCAACAATGTGTATCAAGATCCTTTTCAAACAAAAAAAAAATGGTATATCAAACTCCACACCATGCCTTCACCTATGATACCCTCTCACATGTAGAGAGGCAAACAGACGAACTGAAAATAAATAAAATCTGAGTGCTAACAAGAGAAAGACGGATACTTAAAATCGTGACCTCCCAGGATGAAACCTGTGATAGTCATAATAGTTGCCCAAAGACTTTACTATTATGGAATGGCCCTATATAAAGATCTCATAATGATAATAAAGGTATAGTTGAAATATTTTTTTTTTCCTTGGGTAAATTTGGGCACACCCATGATTGCCCCATTGGGAACTCAAACCCTTAAACTTCCATTTGCAAGGAGGACTAAATATCACTTGGCTAAACCCTTGGTGGTTTTAGTTGACAAGATTAGAGTAAAGATAAACTCAAAAACTGAAAAAATAAATAAATATAAATAGAGAAAAACGGTTACAAATCAAAAATTCACATAAACAAGACTTGAAATAAGTGTAATTGAGTAAATAAGGGAAAAGTAATGGCTACAAATATATAAAAAATGATATGCTATATAATTTTCGATCCATCAATTATAAGAGAATGAAGAGGGAGAGTGAAGAAAATGATGAATAGAAAACCCAAAAGTTATTGTGACTGCATATTAAAAAAATAGAAAACTATTAGTTTGGTTGCCAAAGGTCAGCCATATCTTATATTACATAACTGCAAGCTGATAGAAATTGTGCATCGGAAAGTCTATATAAGAAGAAGCATTCAAATTGAGGATGTTGAGATGTGTGAGTTGCCACACAAGAAACATGGATGCAAAATGGATTCAATTTCTCGCACCTGATGTGCACTATCAAGTATGACTTGCTTCAAATCAATTTGCAATAAGGCCATATAAATGACCCAAGAACGAGATAGTTGATCTAAACTGATAAGTGAATCCACAACGTACTCCATAGTCCATTCTTTTGCTTCAAAATTAATGACAGCCTCACTTGAAATAGAAATTGATACGAAGATCACTTGCAAATGGAATTGAACTCTTAAAATTCAACTACTACTGATGCAATTGTGCTACCAATTCCATTCCATTACATTCAAAATCTAAAAAGAAAATCGAAGAACCTGCATATATATATATATATATATATAAAGGAATATATTTATATGGATATGTAAAGAAAAAAATGAAGCAGAATTGGATGAATGAGGAACCTCGATCTGAGAAAACTGGCCGTGGTAGCCACGGGACTTGAGAAAGCAATCAACGGCGTCGTTTGGAGTGTCAGTTGGATTAGCTTGAGAAGAAGTGCCGCCGACGGCCGTCCGTCCGCCGGCCACGTCGGAGCAGCAGTTGCCCATTGCCGCCGCCGCCCACGCACTTTTGTAGTTTGTCCGAAGAGAGAGAGGAGAGAGAAATAAAAGTTGGATAGATACAGACTAAGAAATGAATTGAATCAACAGACTGTAAACGTGAAGAGAGTATTACTACATTTTTTTTCCTTTTTTTTTTTTCTTTATTTGGTGAAGGGTTGGCCCACATGCCGCGTAAGATTAGGAATCAGAGCAAAGCGCGTTCATTCAAATTAGAGTGGCGGTTCATTCCCGTGCGACGCAGCCATTTCTGTTTATCCTACACTCCCCAATGATCATATATGACAGGTAGCGAAATGGGGGAGTTCCATGTCATTTCAATATAAGAAAATCATACTTGAAATTACTGATTAGACCTTAGCAATTAGGGTGGTAATTACTGTTGGCGGGTCGTTTTCGTATCTTGTCACAGTATAAATATTATGTTAAATAGGTCGAGACAAACATGACACGATTATTATTAATATCAAGAAATCCTAACACAAATACGAAATATCATGTTAATTCAAATTGATACTATTACCAAGCGAATATGATTAAACAAAATTCTAATCCAATTATCACTTGTCATGATAGAATCGTGTCAAGAGTGTCTTGTAAAATATTGCCACCAGCCGCCACTAATCTTAATGGGCTTGAGAGACTAGTGAAATTGCAGCGAAATGAGAGTCTATTGAAGAGTCAAATCTTAGGACATGAATGCCCTATTCGTTTGCAGGCTGGTAAGGAAATTGGTCTCGCAGTCCACCAAACAAGTCCAAATGTCACCACCGGTGTTAAAACAGTTTTTCTCATTTTATAAAGGTTTGGTTGATTATTATTTTCATAAGGTATTTGAGGGATAGCTTTACGGATTACATAGACTGATTCAACTGAATGGGGGCCTTGTCTATTTATCGATGTAAAATATTTTTTTATAAACTCTATTTGTTTCAATATAAAATATTTTAGTAAAAATATATATATATTAAGGTATAATATTTATTTTTTTTATTTTTTTGGTATTTGACAAAGGTGTAGATCGAGGTTGGAGTTGAGTCTATAGGACCAGACTTATAAAATAACTTGTCGAAAATTAATGAGTAAATTAATTTTGTTAGGCTTCAATATTTTTTTTCTTCGTAAATATTTTACGACAATCAAACACCGAAAAATAAAAAAATATTTTACATTCAAATAAACAGAACATTTTTTTTATTTTTTTGGTGTTTAATTATTCTAAAATATTTATGATGAAAACTAATACTATTAGAACCTAATAAAAATAACTTACTTATCAACTTTTAGAAAGTTATTTTACAAGCCCGTATGACGGTCTCGACTTTAATCTCAACCTAGGCCTTTGTCAAACATTGAAAAAACAAAAATAAAGAAGTATACTTTATCTGAAAAAGAAAAATTTTATCCGAAAGTATTTTAGGTCAAAACAAACGGAGCCTTAATTACAATTAACTCCCCATACTATTATTTGTGACACGTATAACCCCTCTATACTATTTTTTTTTTTTTATGGATAACCCTGGTGAATTATCAACAAAATTTGCACGTTACACCCTCGCCATTAGTTGTCTCTTAAACAAGGAAACAAAATAATTTAATTGCTCTTTTAATACATTTTCTGTTCAATAACATAGAGAGTATTTCTCTTGAAAGTGGGCAATGGAATAATTTTATCACCTTATTTATCTAACAATTAATAGCCAGTGGAGGTGATCACGAATTGAATCGGATTAGGCATTAAACTTGATCCCATCCGATCATCAAGATTGATAAAACTTGAATCAAATCTAATCAGTTAGTTTACTGATTGAATTTGATCGAATCGGATTAACACTTTTCACAGATTGGTTCTGATTGGTTTTACGGGTTGGACTTTTTCCAAACAACCCAAGGTTATTATTTTTTAACTCAATTTAAATATATATTTTTTAATTTTTTAACCCAATTTAAATATTTTACTTTCTGATTGGACATGACAAAGATACATTTTGGACGCTTTCAAAATAGGACAATGTGGTTTTGCAATTATTATTTTTAGAACAATGAGATTAAATAAAATTTAAAATATATTATGGGTTAATTAGAAATAATAAGTACAAAAATTTAAATATCAAAATAACAAACATCTAGCTCAAGCTCCAAATTAGTGATTCATCTATAATTGTAGAAATAAAATGAGCAAAAAATATTATTGTATATAAGGTAAAGTGCAAAAAATTCCTGTGATATACAGAGTGTACCAAAACCCTTTAGTGTTCAAATTATAACAAATCCCCCTGCATTTTTTAAATTGAGCAAATTAAAGACATTTTCTAAATTTGAAGACCGATATACCTAAAATGCCCTGAAAGAAAAATAATAAAAAACACTTATATGCATAAATTTTATTAAGGGTATTTTGAGATTTTTATAATAATAATAAAAAAAAATTGGTCAAAATTGACTATCAGGGAACAATTTGTTATAAATTTTCAAATTATAGGGATTTATATATGCATACTAAATATAAGAGATGTTTCTTGCACATTTTTATAAAGGAGTTTTTTTCTCCCCTTACTTTACCTATGTATATATAATAGTGTGTAATTATTATCATTTTTTTAAAAGAGCCCACGCAGTTTTGATCTTAGATTTTACCCAAAATGCTTTATACTAATTGGAGTGACACGCCTACATGTATAGTACTTCCCCTTTCCACATCGCCTACATATATAACACTTTCCCTTTTCACACTCAGGCGATATGAGATTGTGTACATGTAACTCGTCAAGTATGGTAGCTTATCAGTGCCTCTTGCACCAGCTCACGCCACACCCGCTCACAAAATCACCACACAAGTCATATCCGTACGTTTTAGAATTGAAGTAACTAAACTGTCTCTATAAAACTTACACTATAGTGAAATATGCATCTGGCCCAAATTTATAGAAGTGAAAATATCAAATAATATATATATATTAAAGCCTTTTTCCATAATTTTGAAGTATATATGTCTAAAAATTATGAACTCTTTTTCCTTGTAATTGTGATGCAATTTATAATGAGGTTTTCAAAATATCATTTCTAGAAAATAAAATAAAAATTCAATTACGAATAAAGCACAATATTATCCATTGTCATATGAGAATCATATTCTACTTTTTCGAACTCCAAATTGCTGTTAGATCAACCTGCACTTATTATGATTTTAATCAACCAATTGAAAGGCCATTAGCTTTCAAATATCTAAAAGTATTCATCTATTCTTTTGAGTTATTCATGATTTTATGGCATATGATTTTTTAATTTTGAACTGACAAAGATTCTCACAATAATCTTAAAGAGATTCGAATGATTTATCATTCACTATAGTGGTGACAAAGTTTGACACGGTATGCTAACACGATGCGAACACAATACGAATTAAACGAATTTGGATTGACAGATTTGAGTCGTAAATAAATCGACACGATTTACTCATTTTGTTAATCATGTCATGCAGGGATTAAGGGTGGCAATATTTAACACGACACGCTAACACGACACGAGATAAACGGGTTAGGGTTTGGGTTAATCATATTCGTGTCATAATCGTGTCGACACGGATTGACCCGCTAACTAAACGTGCCGTATTCGTGTTTGACCCTGTAAACTCGATTATGACACGATTAACCCGATTAACAAAACGTGTCAGATAAACGTGTCGTGTTCGTGTCAAAAATGACCCATTTAGCAAAATATGTCGTATTCATGTCGAAAATGACTTAAATGTGTTTTTTCGTGTCGTGTCAAATCTTGACCCATTTATTAAACAAGTTATGCGTGTTGTGTCGTGTTATACGTATAATAATCGTATCGTGTTCATGTTAAGGGTCTTAGTTAATCGTGTTGTGTTTGTGTCAACCTTAATCGTGTCTGTATCGTAATCGTGTCGACACGAACATGACATGCCAACACGAATTGCCACCCCTAGCAGGGATGGGCCCAGGATGTCAGGTAAGGAGGGCAAATATGTATTTTGGGGGGTAATAATGAATTGTTTTAGTAATTTCAGGAGGGCAAAGGTCCCGCCCCTGCCTGAAATCCTGCTTTGGTGGGCTGGCCTCCCCCAAGGTGGAGACTGAAAAGGTCTATCTCCTTTCATGCGCCCCTCCCCTCCTCCATGAGGATGATCCACTGGATTCATCGCAAGACCACGAACACCAATGGGGCGTCTGCCTAAGCACCGGCTTTGTCCAGCTTTTCTAAGCTTACGTGCAATATTTTATGGATATATTATTGAAAATTAACAAATTATAAAGGTATACTACTAAAAAAAATTTAGGGTTAGGGGAGCAATTGCCCCTCTAACTTGCATGTAGCTCCATCCATAATGTCATGTTTGGGTTGATGTGATTCAACTTGTGTAGTTCGTTTATACCAGTTTAACTATACGTATCATAAAAAAAATTATATTTATATTTCAAAATAACTATTTAAATTTTTGTCTTATAATTTAATCTTTTATAGATGAGACTATTTAGTAATTTGGTTGGATTAAAATTTAAAATTTTGTATTATTTATTATTTGATTGAGTATTATTAATAATTTAAATAATATAATTTTTTATTTTAGTAAATAGGTCGTTAAATAAACCGATCAAGTTAGTGTTGAATATTAAATGAATCATTATGTTAAAATTGAACTACTTAGTATAATATTCTTAAATCAACACGATACAAATAAATTGATACTCCAATTCCAAATAGTGAGCCGTAAAGAAATATATATTAACAAACATAAAGAAATATTAACAAATCCGAAAATTCCAGCTAACAAGTATGGCTCAATATTTGGTAGGGGCATATTTCTAAGTAGGGGTGGCAAATGGGCGGGTTGGATCGAATTTGGATTGGGTTGAAAATTGGCGGGTCAATATGGGTCAAGACCCATATTCAATCTGTTTAGAAAGGGTTGAAAATGGGCAAGGTCAACCCGTTGTGACCCGTGAATCCATTAATTATTATTTTTAATTATTTTTTATTTTTAAAATTTTTATTTATTTTTAATTTTTTTAAAAATTATTTATTTATTTTTAATTTTTAAATTTTTTTTAATTCATACAAACAGATCTAACAAAATAAATCTGTGGTTGAGAGTTGTTTTTTTTT